CGCTTTTGTTGTGAAGTTCCTGAGCTCTTTGCTCTGTGCCGCCTAGTCGTCATGCCGCTGCCTGGACAGCCTGGGCTGGCGTGCTGGTATGCAAATGGGAATGCATTTTAAATATTGTAATTTGCAAGTACGAGTACCTTGCGACATTTCACATTAACACCTTTTTTTCTTTGACACACACACACACACATACACACGTGCACACTTCACTTTGAACTCCTTATACTCCTATTGTTCATAATATGCTTACTGAGTGGGCTTTGATTTGAGGCTTTTCCACAAAGCAATTTTTTTGCAATTTCTTTTGTTTAATTCTGTATTTCTATTTTACTTTTTTTTTGAATTTTTTTGCTTCGCTTTTTCTTTCATTTTATGAAAAAGGTGTTGACTACAGTGGAAAATTCTTTTTACTCTTAAAAAAGTTGAGCCAAGTTACAGAGTCGGTGCATAATTAAAATTCCAGTTTCTTTGCAGCGACACATTACACATACACACATACATACATACCAACATGTGAAGGCTTTGTAAATTGTGTAAAGTAGAATTTAAATGAAAAGCTGTTGCTGTGCATTCTCTTATATGAATTTACTTTTATAGGGGCGCGAAGTGGCGCTCATACATACATATATATACATATACATATGTATGTATGCATGTATTTACGTATGTACCTCATATTAAGATTTTTCTAATTTTGCATTTATTATGCAGGTTTTCATTGTTCCTTCGTTTCAATTCTCCACTCTAACATGCTTTGTATTTGTTGCTTGTTGCACGTCGCTTTGTCGCTTCGTAAGCTGACTTTAAATTTTTATTTTCGTTGCCGCCGCAGAAAAACATGCACCCGCATACATATGCATATATGTATATAACACTACCACTTGTATGCCACTTTGGCGCGTACACCTTTTAGTTTCGTCCATATTTAGGTAAATGCGTATGTGCAAATGCGTGTGCGTTGCAGTGCGCTGGCATTGTTGCGGCATTATTATTGTTTAGTTACTTTACATTCACTTCTTGGCTTGCGGCGCACTTTTCCTTGCCACAAGAAGAATATATAACATTGACAAGAAAGTCTTTATACCTTTCATGACCATATCAAATTTATGACATTTTTTTTAATAAATATTATTCCTCTGATTTAAAGAAATCGGCTGAATGTTAGCTACTTGACATAGTCCTCCTATTTCGAAAATTTTCAGTAGCAGTGATGCTTTTTTGGCGGATTTTTAATCCGAAGCCTCACATCTGAACAATAAATAGGAAATTTAATGCTCTTAAATGCTTTTTTGTATTTAATATTTGACCCAAAGCGTCATATCTGAACAAAGCGGTTGTATGGGAGTTACATAATATAGTTGCCCCATTATGAAGATTTTCAGCAGCAAGGTGAAATTCATCATATGTATGTGGGCAGAATACCAAACTTCACTTAATTAAATGCTTTTTTGACAAATTTATGAATCGGTGGTGTTTATGCTACACAAACCATCGTTTACCATCAATTCGGTTCAAATATTAGGTCAAGTAAGAAGTTCGTTCGGTTTTTTATCAAAGAGATGGCGATATTGTCCATAGTACTAGTGTTACGTCTCGCATCATGTCATACTATACGGCGCTGAAAACGTGTTTATTTGCGCTAAAAGTATGTCTTTGACAGTTTTTCGATTGATTGACTCAGTACGTTGTGAGCGCTCGTCAAAGATGAGCACCAGCAAGGAGAAAATTCGCTATGTTTTACAATATTACTTCGATCAAGGCTAAACAGCAGCCAAAGCGGCTAAAAAAATTAATTTAGTTTACGGCCCCGATACTGTAAACGAACGCGTAGCACAAAACTAGTTTGCTAGGTTCCGTTCCGCTAATTTCGATGTCAAAGATGCACCAGGTTTTGCTGTATGTTTGGTGGAATGCAAGGAATCATCTACTACGAGTTGCTCCCCTATGACCAAACGCTCAGTTCGGACCTCTACTGCCAAAAAATGGACCGCTTGAAGGCAGCACTCATCCAGAAGAGGTCATTTTTGATCAACAGAGGCCGAATTGTGTACCATAAGGAGAACACCAGGCCACACACGTCTTTGGTAACGCGCCAGAAGCTCCAGGAGCTCGGATAGGAGATCCTAATGCACCCAGCTTATAGTCCGGACCGGGCATCAAGGGATTACCATCTTTTCCTGTCCATGGCGAACGCGTTTAATGGTGAGAAGTTTGTGAAAATTAGCTCTCCGAGTTTTTTGCCAATAGGGATGTAGCCTTCAACGAGAGGCGTATAATGAAGCTGTCATCTCGTTGGCAACAAGCTTACGAACAAATCGGACAAATTTGCACAAAGTTATCATATTTTAAAAATCAATGAAAAACCGAGCGAACTTAATAACTGAGGGATTAGTTTGCGTACAAGCAAACAGAAATGAAAACCAACTCGATCGGTATTAATTTTAATGGGTCTATATTTTCTCCTTCTGGTTCATACATCCTTCGGACCATTTAATATGCTATTTTGTGTACATTTTGTGTAAATGAAAGGAAGACTAAGTTCGAGTGGTACCGAACACTGGAAACTCGGCTGAAGTTTTAAATGAAGCCTACAAATCAAATATTAGTTTAGTAAAAAGTAATCCTTTTTTTTCTAATAGATGGAGTTATTTATATGTAAGTCCGATCGGGTTTCGCTAGATGGCGTTAGAAAGATGACATTTCGTACTAAAAAAAGCTTCTCTGACAGTTTTGTGATTGGTTGATATAGTTTTGCTTGAGCGTGCATCAAAGATGGACACTAGCAAAGAGAAAATATGCACTATTTTACAGTTTTTCTTCTATAAGAGCGAAAAAGCAAGCTCGGCTGCTGAAAAGATGAATAGCGTTTATGGCCCTGATACAGTCAATCACGCGCAAAAATCGTTGATTTCCTTCCGGTAATTTCGACATCAAAAATGCTTCACTGAGTGGAAGGCCAATTGTCGAAAATGTCGATAAAAGCATGGATATTGTCGAGTCCGACTGTCAATTATATAAAGTATGTATGTATGAATATGTAAGAAAAATTTTGCTGCCTTTAGAAACTACTTTTTCTACGATTTTAGTGTCATTTCCAATACGAATCACGCCCAAGGTTTATAGAATAGAAGCTTACGACAAGTGCGAAATCATATGCTTAATGACGAAGTTGGTTCAAAAGGTTCTAAGTTCTTGTTGCCGAAGCTTCTAAAATATCAGGTGTTCAACTTTGCTTCCACCGTTTTCCGATAGGTGGCTGTACCGGCTGAGGCTGGTTGAAATACATAGATGATAATGCCTTTAAAGTGAGTGTGGACAGTGCATAACGAATTCTCATCGCCGTTTCAGTGACAGTTGCTCTTGTTTTCGTATTAAAAGAACGTGTCGGGAGTGGTTTCAACGTTTTAAAAATGGTGATTTCGATGTCGAAGACAAACATGGTGGTGGAAGAGAAAAAACCTTCAAAGATGGTGGGATCAGCTCGGTGTGACTTACTACGAGCTCTTAAAACCGGGTGAAACCATTACAGGAGATCGCAACCGAACGCTACTGATGCGCCTTAGTCGCGCGCTAAAAGAAAAGCGGCCACAATATCAAGAGCGACATGACAAAGTCATCCTCCAACACGACAATTCTCGGCATCACGGCACAAAAGTGGTCAAAAAGTACCTGTAAACGCTGAAACGGGAAGTCTTACCCCACCCGCCGTATTCCCCCTTCTGACTTCCACCTATTCCGTTCGATGGCACACGGCCTGGCAGATCAACATTTTCAATCCTTCGAAGAATTGGAAAAATGGATTGCTTCATGGATAGCGTCAAAACAGGACTCCTTCTTTCGAGCCGGGATCCGAAAATTGCCGGGAAGATGGGAGAAAGTTGTCGCTATCGAAGGACAATACTTTGAATAATATATCTGTAAGCACTTTCTCGGCTAGTTAAATATATGTATATCCTATATAAGATACTCGCATGCATATGTAAAGGCCACCTCGGGTGTACCTTTGTGTCAGAGTCTTATTCACATATGGATCCCATACATATGTATTTGCTAATGGAAGAAATTACTATTTTTGATGATATATATATCAAGTCTCGTCCACTGTATATATTCGGTGAGTTCGATGACGTCAATGGTTGTAGTAACCATCTATTCTATAAAACATGAATATTGCCAGTATAGCAAATCTTTCACCATCACAACATACATATGAGTACGTACACTTATTTTTTATTCTTTTTTTTCAAATAAAAATTTTTAGTTATACAATTTTTTTATTTTTTTATTAAATGAAGCACTCTTTGTTTCTCATAATACAAAAAAACTATAATTTTCGTTGATTCTGTCAGAGTACACAATCGTTCTTAATCAGCCATTCACGTTATTGCTCGTTTTCTGTCAGATTTTGTTCGAAATTCAAATATATTGCGTGCGTTGTGTAGTGTTAAGAATACGAAGCAAAGGTGCGCTGGTTCGAATACCGTTGTATTCATAAACCATAAGTTTTCAGTACCGCGGTCAGTATGCGCGTCGCTTTTTGTTAATTTTTGCTACTGTTTTGTTTATCTTCTATCTACAGACATATACAAAAATTTTTATCCTGAATGACAGACGGATTAAGGCACATTGTCGAGGCCTGAAACTTGGAGATTACGTTTCTCTTATGACGTAGGAGTCTGATAAGAAAGGAATTTGCGATATTTTAGCCAAAAGGAGGGGAAAAAGGTGTCAAACTAAACGAGCGTAAACTACACATCCCAATCATTTGATTCAGATTTTTTTCTGACGCCAGCGTTGACATAAAACTATGGGGTATAGTCCAATCATTGTCTTCACTGGATTTAAATTTTCTGAAGTTACAAATGTGGTCATAGAACTCATCAGCTCTCTTATGGTTTAGTGTGTATCATATTTTTCTTAAAACTTTATGGTACTTTTTTTTTTTTTTTTTTTGTCTCATACAAATTTTATAAATTAAGGAATTAAGTTTTTATATTAATTTTTGATTTAAAAACATTACAATATGCAATAACTAACATAAAAAATGAATAAATGATATATTCTATATTAAGCTTTCTTCCGCTTCTTAAGAGCCGGCATACCGCTATCAAATTCAGAAGTCGTTAAAGCTCTCGACGCTGGCAGCATTTTCACTAATTTATTACTTTGTGGACGATTTGGGTTGCGTACTTCATTGGTAACTGTTGTGGCGAATCTACGCTTTTTGGCACGTTTTTCCATTTTAATTTTCTCAGGATCCCTAGAAGAAGGCATGCAAAGTTTATTTGTATTAAAATAAAAAGATTTAGCAAAATAATTTTTACCTTTCCGTGTATGTCAAGCGATTGGTAGGTGGCGGTGGTTTGGGTTCCGTATGCTTCTTAGTAAACGTCTTGGGTTGATCCTTTAAACCAAAGCTCTTAGCGAAATGTCCCATATGTGCGTTTTTAATATTAAATATTGGTTTAAGTTCTTTTGGAAAGGTCGAATAAAATTTAGTCCATGATACGAATGCTATAAAATTGTAATTGGAATACAAAAAAAAAATTTAAACGGTAATTATCCGGCTCGTTAATGAAAATGAAAAAAATAAATTTACCTTTACACGCCTTGTTATGCATTTCCTTGTCGTCAGCGATTAGTTCTTGGAATTTATGTTGCAGATTTGACGCAGCTTCCTGCACTGTATTTGCTTCATCATCATTTTCATTGATCGTCTTTAAGTAAATATCCATATCAACTTGTGCTATTCTGTAATTTGATGGGAATTTAGTAAAATATTAATAAGGGTTAAGCAATTTGAATAGAAACCTTATACGTTGGTCTTCTAGAAAACGCACAAACTGCGCTTCGGAAGGCGTCAGGAGCAATATGGCATGCCCACTGTGACCTGCACGCGCTGTACGTCCAACACGATGCACGAAATCAGCAATTTTTTGCGGTGGTGAATATTGTAAGACCAGATCAACTTCAGGCACATCTATTCCTCGTCCAGCTACATCCTAAAATATAAAGACGTACAGGAAATTAAACTATTTAATGTTTATAATAACATTATTTTACCGTCGTTAGCAGCACACCAGATTTGCAATCACGAAAACCATTAAAAACACCCTGACGTTCAGTCTGTGTCATTGAGCCATGTAATCTAACGAAAAAAAATTAAATAACAAAAGAATGTAAATTAATATAAATAAGTTTAAAGAACCTTCGACTTACTTGAAAAATCTTAGGCCTTTAAGCAAAGGTGTTTCTTCGTCATCTTCACTTTGCTCCTGCTCCTTGATCACTTCCTCGTCGTCTTCATCGAGTACTTTCTGTGTAAGCAATTCATTTAGTAAATCATGATGAAAATTAACCATCTCCATAGTACTCATGAAAACTATTGCTTTCAAACGTTGCTTACTACCGTATTCATGCGCTAATATGCCACACAGGGTGACTAGGCGTAGTTTTGGCGGCACAACAACAAAATTTAGTTTTAAATTATCTGGTATAGTCATTATGCCCTTTTCCTCATCTTCATCATCATCTACTATTTCCGAAGTTAGGGTCTGAATATCATTCTTTGTATACCCATTAGACTTGGGTAACGCACCATCTTCTTCGCTATTATCAACGAAAGTCGGTTCTTTCAGCGTAAGACCGGCCAAACGTTGCACATTGGCTGTGAGTGTGGCTGACAACAGCAAACGTTGTATGGGTTGCTCAGGATTTGCATCATCTGTCGCAGACTTGGCACGCTGTGCATCAATTGCCTCAACAATTTGCTTCACATCACGTTCATAACCCATTTCCAACAGGCGGTCCGCTTCGTCCAGTACCAGAAATTGTGTCTTGTGTACCTTAAACGTCTCTGTGTGCAAGATATGGTCAAGCACACGTCCTGGTGTGCCGACTAATATATTAATACCTTTGCGTATGCGCGCTTTTTCTGCTTTGCGTCGTTCACCACCCATCAGTACTCCAGGCACAATCCATGTAAATGGTTTTACCAGTTTTTGAAATAATTCATATGTTTGCACAGCCAATTCACGCGTAGGCACAATGATCACAGCTAAAACACCTGAGTCTCGTGTGATTTTGGGACGTACCTCTTGGAGTTTTTCAACTACAGGTAATGCGTATGCAAGTGTTTTGCCGGAGCCAGTTTGTGAACGCACAAGTAAGTCTTTGCCTGTGCCAAGAAAATAAAAATAAAATAATAAAAAAAATTTGATATTATAAATTCAGAAACTTAAATTTTTTCATATAATGGGACGTACCTTCAAGTGCCAGTGGTATTGTTTTTTTCTGCACAGTTGTCAGCTCTACAATACTCAAAGTATCGGCCAAATTCTTTACGGTATGTGGATGAATATTGAGTGTCTCAATTTTTGTGCCATCAAAGAGACGTTCCGCTATCGGTTTTACAAATCGTTGACCCATAACAGGTGCATCCGGATTTTTAGCAAATAAACCAACTTTCTTAACCGACTTATCTTCAGGACGAACAACACGAAATGCATTTGCCTTTCTTGCAGCTAAATTTACGCCATTTTCTTGGATGCCTGCATCTGTCTTTTCTTGAACTTTTTGTTCGTTTCTTTCTTTAAAGTTCCTACGCTGCCCTGTAGGTTTCTTGCCATTTTTATCAAAGCGCTTATTCACCATATTATTTGAGCGCTGTTCTTTATTGTGAGTCGACATATTGCGCAAACGTTCAGCTCGAGTTAGTTTCTGCTTTGGTTTAGGACGATCAACTGGCGTTGAATCGGTAGCAATATTAAGTATGAGCCCATTATCTACAGAAGTTTGCGTAGATTTACTGTCATTCAAGTGAAATGGGTTCGATGTGGTCTGGGACACTTCAGCTCGTACTGTCTTTGGTGTACCTGGCTTTCCGTCAGTTTGCTTCGTCTCACCAAACCCATTTAAATCAGGATTTGGTTTCTTCTTCTCATCATGTGCGCTGGTTGTGGGTAGTGTTTTCTTTATGGGCCTTTTGCGTGCCACAATTGCTTTAACTTTATGCTGCGCACCTCCAAATGAAAATGTAAAACCTCCATCACTACTCGATGTTGCACGTTTATTGGAATTCTTTTTTCCTGGCACCTACACAATGAATTGGTCATTTCATACATTTCGAGTGCCAAATATATAAATTCACGACTTACTGTTTTATTCCGCGAGGGTGTTGGCGTCGTTGATATATTTAATGCAATATCCATGCTCATGTTAATTTATTTCTGATATATTTGTCCAAATACGTACTCTGAGTCCAACATGTGTTCACGTTGTTTTGTTTTGACTGCAATTTTCTTGTGCACATTCACAATAGATAGAAGTTGCCATCGACAAAGAACGTATATTAATACGATATCTGATACCGATAATTAGAGTGGTATCGTAATTATTTTAAGATCTTTGCTTACGAATAACGCAATTTTTGTTATTTGTTTTTAAAGCTATTAATTGAAAATCAATAAAAGTGTTGGTGTTAGTACAACAATATTGAATATTTGCTAAAAGTTCAACCATATAAAAAATATAAAAAACTGAAGGATGAAAATTTAATGTTGAGCGGATATGTCTAAGCGGAAGAAAATGTTTGCAGGAAACGCTTCTTTTTTTTTGAAGAGAGGTATTGCTGCTTTTATATATACTATTTAATGTATGTATTAAAATATATGTATGTTCGAGTTCTTTTGGGCGTCATGGTTTAAACTTTTCCATTAAAATTTTTTAATTTAGGTATAGGGCAACTTGTTGCTTTTCTCCTTTTTATTTATTTATGTACAAACATATATAAATTGTTGCTCCCAAAGTGCATTGGGCTGCTTCGAATTTTTCTATCGCAAAACAAATATTTCGAAAAAGCCTGCGAACACGTACATATTATGGATTTCGATACCAATGGGTCCAATTGTAAATATCAAGTACAGCCACGTCCTTCTCTACTTGGTCCTTCCAACGGAGTGGATATCTTCCAGACAAGATCGAAAACTTTCAAAGCTTAAGTATTATATTTTTTATCCATCCGGACCACACTGCCTAGCCAGCATAGGCGCTGTTTCTTGTTTCGCTGAACTATGTCAACGTTGCCGTTTATCTAGTACCGCTCATTGTCCCATCGGCTACGGTATTCGCTGTTTCCGATTCGTAGAGAACCATAAATCTTACGCAAAACCTTTTTCTCGAAAACTCTAACTAACGCCGACTCATCAGATGTTGTCATCGTCCGTGCCTCCGCATCATATAGTAGGACGGGAACGATGAGCGACTTTTCTTTTCAAATGTCCGCTCAGTCCAAAGTAGGATCTGTTCGCAAGAGTGATTCTGCGTTGAACTCCATGGCTGACATTATTATTGGTGTTGATGCTGGCCTCTAGATAGACGAAATTATCTATGACTTCAAAGTTATGACTGCGACGACTGTTTATTTGATGACAGGAGATATTTCGTTTTCGGTATCCTGGTTGCAATATTTATACATATGTATGTTAATAGGCTCACCAAAAAGGGAAGTTTGTGCTTTCTGTCAATTTGCAACTGTGAGTAATTGCCTCAGCTAACCTGATATAACAATTGCGCTGGTCTCATAAATCACGGAAATTCGTCCTAGTTTCCCTACCGAAGCGACGGTTTTAGCTTTCCGGTGCATCTCCCTACGACAAGCCGATCTCAAAAATATCCTTACTAGGGATCTTAATAATGAAATTTTGCGAAAAGTCGACCAACAAGTGCTAGAGGCACTTAAGGTCTTGCAACCTCTCGTCTGGGGCAACCAAGCTCTGGGCCATATCAAATCATGTCTAACCCAATGAACCGTGATGACACGGATGAAGTTCGCAAGCTATTTTAACCGACTTTGTACACTGCAGATTCGGTAGACAAAATGAAACGACAAGTGACCCACCGTCTTCGCAAACCGCAAAACTACAGGGGGTTATCGGGAAGGCCAATGCCTTTAAAGCCATAGGTTTCAATAAAATAAGCATAAGCAGATGCTAAGCTCAGGGACTAGCGAAAGCAGACTACCTGACCAATTTGTCTTTGACCACTCTAAAAATATTCTACTTTAACCGGGTCGTATCGGCCGATATCTCTTCTACCAGCCGTGTGATTTCCTTTCCCTTTATCGTTATAGATTTGGAAACTCTCTCTTCCGCCACCGCCAGAGGGTTTTTCATTGATTCCCAATGCCGATAACTGCTCGATATTGACATCTTCGCTGCACGACGCCTACAGCTACAGTCTATGAAATCTTCGAGCACATTTTATAAAAACTGACTCCAACTCGATGTTAAAGTAGATAACGTAAAACCGTCAACATATAACAGCCAAAAGTTACTGGGAGTCACTTTGACAGTTTGCACCGTCGCATACCACATTCGACTGCTATTGCCACACAAATATAGAGCTGCATTAAAACCCTTAAGCCGTTAGCCGGCAGTACTTGGGGAGAAGACAAAGAAACTTTTTCCACAACATACGTACTGGGCAATTGTCTGTCCGGTCGCAAAATACCCTGCTCCGTTGTGAAGGCCGCAGATGAAGAATCTACAAGACTGCCAAAACACTGCCCTCAGGACCGTAACAGGAAACCTCCTCATGTCACCGGAACTTCACTTGCTTGCACTACATTTACTGGAAGCCGTGCCACAACCTAGGCATTTAAGGAAGGGTGTACTACACTATGCCGACCACATTCAGAGTTCTTTAACACCTTATTGAACACTCTTCCAGTGAACGGCGTGGATAGACCTTATCACGATATACCCAACAAATTTAATGTATGCAAAGAGACCCCGTACGACACTAGTCACCTCTTTTTATGACCCATGAAATTTTCTCATCTAAGCACCGTTTCTCTCTGATCCGGGCTAGTCGAAACACCTCGATTCTTGAACCTTTTGTCCTACGCGCGGTTAAAGAACTCCTACAACAATATCTGTTTTATGTTTGTGAAGAACCCCAGGATCCCCGTTTAGAACCCCTGCATCATGGCTCAATAAGGCGACTCTCTGCAATTCTTCATCCCCATCCAACTTTAATTATCCCACCAACGTTTACTGCCTAAACTATTCCAAACTGTACACAAATTGAATCGTAACTTTGTGATTCCAATGCTTGCTGTTGGGGTTGGTGTTGCTCGTAAAAACTGATTAAAATTCAGGAGCTCAACTAACTAAAAACAGGTGTAGAATCATGTCGAACACGAAGTACTCTGGCGCGTAGTGCTGTTTGCTCTATCCATTGTTAATTCATGAAACGCCTTTTATTTGTACATCAAATGGTGACTCAGGTTGGGGTAGGTTTGGTATATATTAGTTGTTGCATTTGTTGTAGAACTATGAAATAAATCTAAAAACAGAAAACCCCCCTCCCCTTCCCGTCATTAAAATCGTTGAAGGCTTCAGCTTTCATTTGTGTATTTGACACAAGTACTGTGAATGGTCGCGCCGGAGTGGGCGATTATTGGCACGAATACCTTCGATTGCGCTACTCAGTGTGTTAGTCGATTCGAAGAGACTTCCCTTCCTTCCTCGTTGCCTGTAGAATTTATTTGCATTTGAGCTTTCATTTCTCGCCTCTGTGAGAAGATCTGTCGGTTTGTAAGGAGATTTGTATGTTTGTCGAGGGAATATTTCAATTGTTTTCCATTGAACCGCCACGGTTTTAGTTGTCTTCATTGTTGTTGCCTTCAACCGATAGGGTCATTTAATGGCTGTGCGTATTGTACATTCAAAAAAGTTAACTAACAAAAAATGTTGTGAAACACAAAACAAAACAAATGCGAATAAAGCGTAAAGTAAGTGGAAGAAAAACAATGTGATGAAATTGGCGTAATGATTTTGCTTTTTTCTCATCTTTCGCTTGCATTTGTTTTCTTTTGGCTTTTCGTATATGTGGTAATACTACTTATTGGGTTATATTGGTTTTGTTCGAATAGCAGTTGTTCCTGCATTGCCCATCTGACCCCCCTGGCCACCGGAAGTGAATATACTCGTATATAGACGCGACTACAGCCGATGCAAGTATTGTAAGCCAGTCGTATCCGCCTGTCGTTGTAGGGCGGCAAATGGTGATACCAAGTTAAGCCAGGTTCTGAGTTTTCCAACGGATTGAAATTCTTCTTACTCTTTCTCAGCTTGCTCTACTACTATTCAAGTGATATCATTCAATCGGACCCAGTCAGTCAATGTTAACGTATACCTCACACAGCTCATAGCTGGTTTTCGATAGGATGTCGTCATCGTTTACGCTTCCGAACCATACAGCAAAGATAGAGGATTTTACTTACTGTTTCTGTGTTAAATTTCGAAGCTAAAATTATGACTGGTCTTCATTCTCTCTCTCTCTCTGGAATTCCCAAAGTCAACTAATAGGATGTCGTCATCGTTTACGCTTCCGAACCATACAGCAAATCGAGAACGATGGGCGATCTGCAAAGCTTATTCTTTGTTCGTCGAGAGAGGATTTTACTTACTGTTTCTGTGTCAGATTTCGAGGCTGAAATTATGACTGGAGTTGATGCTGGTCTCTATATGGACGAAGTTATCTATAATTTCGAAGTTATTACTTTCAATAGTTGACAACTCATCTTACACTCTTTCACTAACAGACTCATTCGCATTGCCCAATCTAAGGAAAGCAGAACTAACATCGCAGTAGTTGAAGCGGATAATGTCAAATTATCCATTTAGTTCGGCAGTTCGAATTATTTTCTCCAGCATAAAAATAACGTAATCTCACTGTAGAGAGGTTTAAAGCACTGTGGAATTGAATCTGCCCAGAAGTGAAACCGACGACACACGCATTCTTAGCACGCAATACTTTCCACTCGGCTTGGCAGTCGTGCAATGGATATTCAAAAAGAAAAAATTTGGATATCTTCGAAAACTTCATAGCGTGGAAGTTCCAAAACTCAGTATCATCAAGCCGTTTCCGCCAAAGCTTGCCCCTCCCTTATATGCTTAGTAATCGGTTGCCCATTTTGCCAACTTCCCTACGCTTGCCATATGCCACCACTGCCAGTGAGTATTATCGCGGTGCGTGGCAGCTACGGTCGCCCTCAATTAAGCTTCGAACTTTGAAATGTCTGTGCAAAAATAGGAAAATGGTTACGACAATGACAAATACTTTCACTTGCTGCCAGTCGTTGGACTTGGGTCGTCACCAATGCCACCAACGTCGTGGACTTTTCATTGTGTTTTAGTTGTTAATAGCGGTTGTTGTTGTTGGTTGTTGTTGTCCATTTTGTCAACTGATGAAGAAAAACGGAAGTGAAAAGCGCAAAAACACAAGAGAAACACCCACGCTCACAAGTTTACTCAACAAATGGCTGTACAAATAGTATCCCGTTGGCTAAACGGCTAACAAAATGTAAAAGTAAAAGTAAATAAATAAATACTTGCGAAAGTATTTTAGTTTTAGCGGCGCGCCGGAAGGGCAATGGAAAAGCTATTTGCCATGTGCCGCAGCCAGCTGTTGTCATTACTGGACTGATTGCTTTCGCTAACGAAGGTGGCTGGAGATGAAGGAGCTTAAGCTGAAGAGGGTGTTACAAGAGTAGCGGTGACTTTAGTGTTGATGGTTTTCTTTTTGTGTCGTGTACGTACGAGGGCCAAACTGAATTGT